TGAAAGTTACCAATATACTCCGGTGAAAACGTACATTAGAATGCTGGGAAATGTCATATTTTGCTCAGAATCCTTCGCTCTATTAGGTTAAACTAAAATCAATGGATAGTATAAACATGAACGACGTTAACCCACGGGTTTGCCGATACAGCACCGAGTATTTCGGATCCCAGACTATCCAGTTACATTTTCTTAAGAATATCTTATACATCATTTTGAAATCCGTAAAATTCTCTATCGAATGATATATAAAGTGGAGTGGTTAACGGGACGATTAGTCACTATTATAAAGATGAACCATGTTGATCTATCGGTTTGCTGCGATTTTACAGAGTATTTCGGATCTTAAACTATCCGCTTGCATCTTTCTGTATGTTTCTGGTGGAAAACATGTCGGTACGCAGACGAGATTTTTACGCCGTAGAAGTAACTCGTCGTGCTCATTCCGAATAAGCAAAAAACCATCAAAATTTGACATGAACACGTGATTCGACTCCGAAAATTCATTCTGAATTGATGTAACAATCTTGACACTCGCTTTTCTAGAAAAGAAACATCAAATGGTAACATGAGAAAAATTTTAACTTTTAAAAACTGCTTTCGCAGATTTTCAGCTAGTCTAGAACAAAAGTAAAACCATGGATAGAGACGCCCCACTCTGCGGTTAGAAATGTGTATGACTAACGCAGACACCTGACATTTGAGCGGACGGACAGATATTGAAATTTATGTAAAAGTATTACTTATAGGGATGTGGATTCAAGCAAAACAATAATTGTGAAAGGAAATATTTTCTGTTAACAAAGTAGAGCATAATTAGAGAGGTATTAATCAACTTAGTTTTTGAGAACTTTAATATTGAGGTGAATAAACTGACAATTTTAAACATTTTTACAAGCTTCCGTAGCTTCTCTCTTCATCGTCAGATAAATTTTATGCGTAACAAGGGGAAACACAGAGTATACATACGTATAACGTGAGGGAAACATGTCTTGGCTATCGAATGACGAAAACCGCAACTCTCTAGCTATTGTTATTCAACAATTATTTAGAAAATCACGTTTATGAACGCACAGTAATAAATCACTTAGAAATCCAACATGTCTAAAAATGGGTTAGAATAACTGCTAATTACTAAATTTGGAATCGCTTTGGCAAGCAAGTACAGGATTTTGTAGCACTTGAAAATCTCTATCAAATGATATATTCGTTCATGAACTCCAATAAAGCGGTAACTCTCAACTAAAAGTGTAAGACATCAGAGTGACGAAATTAGCGTTTTTTTCTGTTGATTACTGAAAGACCGAGAAGGAGGAGCGAGATGAAACTGCATGTACTGAATACTTTTCTATCATCCTTTTGCAGCTAGTACAATGATAACCAGCATCATGTCATCTACACCAGGTAATTAACATCACCTTGGTATTATGTATAATGCTAGTGTTGAACTAAGCAAGTTGGAATCGAACTAGGTCTTATTTGGGATGGAGTATTCGTCTGCACGAAAATGAGAGCAAAGAGCTTCAATGAAAAGAAAGCTAAATAGTTGAGTATAAACAAAGTCGTTTCGACAATGTTTGCCAAACATGTCGCTCAACGCACTTCCCTACGTAGATTACGAATCTGACAGTTATTCCAGTTGAATCTGATAAAGTAGAATACTCTTTGAAATACTCCATGAATCATATCTCTATCACACTACGTTAATAGGAGCAGGTGAGTAATACTCTTCTTCAGACTAAGGCTCAAGCGGATGATTAAAACGACTATGATGAGTCCTCTCTCACTCTCACTCTTTTGCACAGATGTGACGATGACAATAGCAACATCAACAACGTGTAAGTAAAATAAGACATTTTATTGTTGTTATCTTTCAAAAACGATACATATCAACCGAGGACTTTTATCATTAAGATACTGCAAGTACTATCATAACAACGATTAATCCATGTAAGTAAGCAAAAAATATCTATTTAATTCCTATCGTAGGAACTTAAAAACGGTGACAATATGCTCTACTTGGAAAACGTTTCGTGACACGACATTTTTCGTACTACATATTTGGGTATTTTTGACAGTACGTGGTGGGCGGTGGGGGTGTGGGCAGTGTGAGTGAGTTCGAAAAGTAGTTTTCACACATAACGTATTTTTGTGATACCGTATGAATTTTCTTGAGCTTTTCAAGTGCTTATGTGATATGTACCTAGTGAAAAATTCGTGATAATGTCGGTGTGTCAAGCGTTTGAGTGAGATTGTTCTTTTGGGTCAAACTTCCTCGATCTATTTCATGCAAGAAACATTCACTCGATTCTCTATAAAACTAGGGAAGACTGAAAAATCTATACCAGTCCGACTGAAATGCAAGAAAAGGACACGTTTTCTGTTGTCCGGTTTCTTCGAAATCATTCAGTTTTGATTCTAACAAAACAACGAAAGACCACTTTTTAATACATCTTTGATTAGAATATGTATTATAATCGGTATATTCATCAAAATCGGAGTCGAATCAGGTGTTCATGTCAAATTTTGATGGTTTTTGGCATATATGGAATGAGCGTGACGACTTACCTTCTACGACGCAAAAATCTCGTCTGCGTAACCTGAAGTCATTATTCTTTCTTTCTGATCTCTATTTTTTGCTTCTGTGTGCATATAGAAATAGGTATAATGCACGAAACGAGGAAAAGAACAAATGTTATGTTTCTGGTGGAAAACATGTCGGTACGCAGACGAGATTTTTGCGCCGTACAAGTAACTCGTCGTGCTCATTCCGAATAAGCAAAAACCATCAAAATTTGACATGAACACGTGATTCGACTCCGAAAATTCATTCTGAATTGATGTAACAATCTTGACACTCGCTTTTCTAGAAAAGAAACATCAAATTGTAACATGAGAAAAATTTGAGGAAAAAAAAATCTATGGGATAAGATGATGCGCTTTTAGAGTGAAGTAGTTATTCTGAATTTATACGCGCAATAAAGGGCCTGAACCTGAAGCTGGCCGTACTCAGAAAACTATCCTTTTCAGTAAAGGTTATTTTTAAGTCCCTAGTTATAAACTTATGCGTGATGATTTTCAATAAGAGGCTGTATATAGAAGTGAATACCTGTCAAGAATATGCTGACTGAGGGATACAAACGGCCAATGGATGTTATATATATGTGTGATGTAATATATGTTATACAAAACTCTTCCTTCAGGCTGAAAAACAGAAACTACCGAAAAGGGTAGTATTTCCGGTTTTTCATCATGAACGAACAGTTTCTGGATGTCTAGGGAGAAAAATGAGGGTTTTTTTTTTTTTCTCCCTAGACATCCCGAAACTGTTCGTTCATGATGAAAAACCGGAAATTTCTACTACATGTGTGGCTGGTGGCTTTGTTAAGCTCGCGTACGTCTGATCTCAATCCTGAGTGCGTTAGTCAACGAATTCGATTCTTGTTAGGTGCAACATCAACATTTTCTTTTGAACCTCTCGTTCCAATCGGTTGGAAAATGGAGATGTGTGGACAAAGTATCTAAAGACGGATTTACGAATTGCAATTTTTAAGCGTAAAAATGATGTCACAATTAGCATTTTCCGCTTATTTTGAGAATTCGCAGCGAATTGATGTGAACTGTATCGAATTCGATACTCTTAAAAACGAATTCATAAGATGAATTCGTAAACATCCGAAGAGATGAGGCACGATGCTGATCAATTCGCAAATAGTTCGTAAAATTAGTTTACGAATTAGTGTTCACTGCTTTTAGAACTGGATTAATTCGTATTACGAACTGATCCAGCGGTTGAAAATAGATACTTCTAATATTAATTCGTCGTTATTCTTATGAATTCGTAAAATACGAATTGATGCCAACTGAAATACAGCGAAACATGTTTGGCTTGTTGCGTAAACACTCACAGCCATCTTCGCAAAATTTCTTGTCCTTCATATCAATTCGCATTTTACGAATTCGTAAAAATAACGGCGAGTTGAGGTGAGAACTATGCGAATCGATGCGAAGAGACGAATCTACCTATTTTTAACCTTATAGAAAAATTTCTAGACAATAAAATGCGAATTTACGACTTCTATTTATGAAATTTGTCAGATATGCCTGACGAACTGAAGTCAAGGACAAGACATATATCTCTAAGGTTAAGAAAAGTAAGAATCGTCTCTTCGCATACTTCTCAACTGAATTTGCCGCTACGTTTACGAATTCGTAAAACACGAATCGATGTAGAATGCACCAGAAGCATTTCCGTGAGGTTGAAAATAGATAAATTCGTGTATTCACAGCGATTCGCATAGTTCTCACCTCAATTCGCCGTTATTTTTACGAATTCATAAAGAAGAGAGATTCCTTTTTGTTTTCTTTAGCGAAAAACTATTGACGAATTGATGAAAGAATTACAGCGAACAGACGATTCTTTGTTTTCTTAGCCTCATAGAAATATTTCTTGTCCTTGATATCAATTCGTATTCTGTGAATTCGTAAAAATAACGGCGAATTGAGGTGAGAAGTATACGAATTCGTTTCGTCTATTTACGAATTCGTAGATGCCAACGCACATCCGACGAATTCGTAAATTCTCATGTTTGCCAATTCACGAATTCTTGGTGGCCAAAAAGATCGTTTGACGAATTCGTTGATAGTAGACCAAGTCGACTTACGAATTCGTGAGGACCCGAATTGTCTTGCCTACGAATTCGTCCCAGTTTACGAATTGGCAAGAGGAACAAAAGAAGCACCTTTTTGGTTATTTTTTCATCATTTTTGTCTGTTCTCATCAGCTCTCACTGAATTACACATTCGCTGCGAATTACTAAAACAATAGTAAAACGCGAATTATTGTATCATTTTTACACTCAAATATTGTGATTCGTCAATTCGTCTTTAGACACTTTGTTCACACTAATGGAAAAATGAAGAGATCTTTTACCATTGGCTTATGATGCTCCTAAGGTGCGAATTGTAATTTTGGTTCTTATTTGATGCTGAGGTGATACATGAAATGCTATGATGCTTGTTTCGAACATTTAAAAGTTACGTATGATCTCTATGATTACTCAATTGTTGCAGGTAGCTTATATCAATGGAATACAACTGGCATCACTGTAGGAAATTCAACTCAGCTAGACTCGCCAGGTCAAATATTTATTGATTCTAATAACACATTGTATATCGTCACTTACAGTAACAGTCTTGTTCTAAAATTGTTACATAATACAATCAATTTCATAGTAGTAGCTGGCAACGGTACAGGTGGTTCAAGTTCAAAGCAGTTTAACGTTCCACAAGGTTTATCTCTTGATGAAAACTATAATTTATACGTTTCGGATTTCTACAATAATCGAGTACAAAAATGGCTATATGGCGCATCATCGGGTACAACAATTGCAGGAATATCAGGTTCAAGTGGATCGGCTATGAATCAATTCGACGGACCAGTAGGTTTATTCCATTGAGTGTAAGTCTACAGGCATACGACATAAATTGTTTGTGTGTGTGTGTGCGTAAACAGGTGTGACGGACGTACATACACATAGCCCATGCGCCAGTGTGACGGACGTAAATACACAGATTGACTAATGAGGGTGACGGACATACATCGACATGGGTACATCTGTGCGGGTGTGCTGTTGAATCAGAGAAGTGCGTTTACACTTGTTCGAGTTGCGAACGCGGGCCGAAGGGACACAAGAGCCTTGTCTGGAATTTAGAAATACAATATTTTTATATACAATATTGTAAGGTCTCGAGAAAACTTTTATATAGATTCGTAGTACATTATGTAGCTTACACTTCAACTCAGAGAAATATTCATAACATATTTTAGATAGTCCCTGGCGAATACCGACCGAAGGGAGATGTGAGCGTTGTCTTCTATTCAGAGTCGTTGAAGTTCGTTTGCAGATATAAGTTCATAAAGTCTATGGACCGAGCGGGTGGGAACGTGCGTTATCTTTTTTTGTCTCTCGTGCTTAAAAACATTTTTCTTCTCTTCCTTATGACTGGCTTATCCATGATATATCTGATAGCCATTTTTCGTATTTTAGATACATACACACAGGCATGCAATCATTTTGCAAGATCCCAGACTAAAGTCCAGGGAACAAAGAGACAGATCGAAAGTCTGGAATAGTAATACCATTGTAAAGAGACATCTGACCTAAGAATATTCCATTTCAGATTTCTATTTATGTTATCCTCACATCACTTATTGAACTTATTCTTGTCATTGCTCGGGAACTACTCTTTTAGAGATACCATTAACAGCTGCTGTTACAATAGTGTTTTTACTAAAATTGTGGTGCACTCTCATCTTAAAAAATATCACTCAGCTCTGTAGTAACAAGATCGAGTTACAATAAAATGAATAATATTCCCAACAGTATATTTATTCGACGTACAGTCAATGGACCGTGTGAATCCATGTGATTCACATTATTTATTTCTAGATTCATCAAATACCTATATGTATGTCGCAGACATTAATAATCATCGTATTATGAGATATTTCACAAATTCAACAAGTGGTGCTGCTGGAACAGTCGTAGCAGGCGGTAATGGTGCAGGCAATTCAAATAACCAGTTAAATCAACCATTCAGTGTATATTATGATTCAGTATCAAATTATTTGTATATAACAAATACTGGCGGTCAAGCAGTAATCACATGGAGCCCAGGTGCAGCGAGCGGTATGTTTGTAGCAGGTACAGTCGGTGTAAGTGGCTCGGGTTCCACATATCTAAATGGACCGACTCATTTAACAGTAGATACATACGACAATTTATATGTATCGAACTGCTTGAAAACAGAGATGGTGAAGATGCCAGCAAACAGCGAGTTGGATTCTTCTTTCAAGAAAATATGTGACGGGTTTGTTGAATTATTCAAGGAAACATCGAATGAAACGCATAAAATAAATTGTCTTACACGCGCTGTGATCATATATAGAATTGTAAAAATGGTAAAGATGAATTGAACTGTGGGTTACTCTTAAAGTTTCCTATATAAAAAAACTGATTTACTAAGAAAGAACTTACGAACACAGAATAAAATAGGCTATAACCGTTGTAGGAAACCCTAGAGAATGTCCGGTTTCCCTGATCAGACGACTGGTCAGCAAACTGTAAGTAAAAAAGTCTTTGCTTATTTTCTTGGTCAGGACCTGTTTATTTCCTGACCAGTAAAAGAAATCAAGGACAGGATCTGCTTTTTGGATAGTCATCGGCATTTAACTATACTTCGGCGTTAAAAGCGACTATAGCTTTTTCAGGTTTGATTACATCATGTTTTAGTTATTAACATCAAGTTCTTAAGATTTGTGAAATTATTCCTTTCAGAGTCGTTTTGCATCCAATGGTTAATAGCCAAAGAAGAATGTAACTGTCACACACACTTTATTTCAGTAAATTCACAACTATATATAGTATATTTCAGCTACCGGAAGATCTCTTAGGAAAACGGGGAAAAACACATATTGTACAAGAGAGAGAGAGTGAGAGAGAGAGACGAATAGGAATGAAAAATGATCATGGAAAAGAGTGAACAGAAAGAGAAAACATACTTCATACAAAAGCAGAAGAGTGAATACATATAACAGAAGGAGAGAAAAAGAAAATAACTATCGAGCGAAGAGACGCATATGTGTACTGAAAGATGACCACAGTTGAAATGGAATTTTATACCTCCTAACAGGTTTTTATCAGCCCCATGATCCCTTTAGGACCTCACAACCTTTATCCGCAAATGAAAAAGACATGTTTTTACGGAAGTCATACATCAAAGACAAAGGATTCCGTACGAGTACACAGCAATTTTGGCTCTCTAATGCCCAGGGACCTGACCAGGTGCCGAACATTGAGGGGGTGTAACGAAAGCTTGTTGTCCGAGATAGTGTAAACTTTATTTTAAATAATTACCTTGTTACTGTTCTTTTAAATTGTTGGGGGAGTAAGCATATTCGATCTGTTTTTAACCCTTTCGGGACGGGTGGTACACCGTATATACCACAGTCTTTCGTTCTGTTGTGACGTGTCGAAGCATATGTTTTCTTGCCTTTTTCTATAGAACATACATATTTTTCAGTTTTTACTCTTTCCTCTTCTTATGGTATCTTCTAGTAAATTCTTTCCTTTTCACACTTTTATATATTCAGCGGTTGAAATGATGAGAAAAATATGGAAGTCAACAACGTTCAAGAAGAAGTCGTCCTTCCGCAGAAAAACCACTTCGATTGACGTCTCGTCATTTTCCAGCACTAACTGGTGGAGCAAAACGAAGGTGTATTGTATGCAGCTCAACTGTCAAGCGACCAAAAAAGCAATCTCCTACCCGATACGAATGTTCAGACTGCAATGCAGGCTTGTGCATCCCGAATTGTTTTCTCGACGATCACACTCTAAAGTCATATTAATAAACTGGACTGAAAACTAGAATCAATTGATTCTTAAAAACTAATTTTTGTAAGGTGCAGGCAATTCAAACTTCAAGTAAAATTTTTTTTTGCCGTTTTTTTTACATCATTTGATAGAGTGAGAGTTGCTGATCACGAAAAACAACTTTTTACCTTACACAGATATCTTTTTCAGGTCGGAAAATACGAAAGAATCGAAGTATGTCGTATTTTTCAAATTCACATTTTTTTCAAAATACGCCTCATATTTCGGTTTGTGCTTTCTCTGAGTTATAGTCACCAAGATAGTCACCAGATTCTAGTCCTGGGACTCGTAAGAAACTCGATACAGCGCCCAAGCCGCGGAAAATCAAGGTGTCGTTTGACTTCCGTCTTCAAGAGGAGATCCCGAGCTATCAGTCCATGAAAAAAAATCAATACAATCCTATTCGAAATTTTTTACACACGACCTGGTTTTTCAAAGATCTCCTAGAAAAACCCGTTTCAGAAAACTCTTCAGAAAATAATTATGCTTGTGGAAACATGTCCATAAGTCTCTTCTTTCGCATGGAAAAAATCGGAGCTCTCTATCAAAAGTTATTCAAAAAGCACCCACGGCTGTTCTATTTTGGCGTTTTTCTCAAAACTCGTTTTTGTTCGAACATGCCCAGTGTGAAACCCTTTTTTTAAATATACTTCAAGCTAGAGTTCTCGGGCTGGTTTTATTTTAAACTAGACACTTAACTGCATGGGATGCTGGTATCCGATTTTTGATTTAGGCCTTCGTTAGTTTTCTAGAGATCGAAGATTCTCAAAAACCCGAAAAATGTTTACGGGTGTTCCAGAGATTCTTGATTTTCTAGAAAAGGCGAGCCTAATTCAAAAATTGGGTCCCAGCACCTCACGCAGTTAGATGTCTAGTTTAAAATAAAACCAACCCGGGATCTCTAGCTTGAAGTATATTTAAAAAAAGGTTTCCACACTAGAGGGTGGTTTTTGACCATGGACTCTGGAAAACCCCGGAACGGTAAGAGATAGCTAGCTAAAAAGAATTTCATAACCACACTTTGATATGGCAAATGTTTGCTGAAAGTTTGATCAAAGTCGGATGAAAGACAAAAAAGATTTTTTCTGAGGGGGGTGTAGCGGCCGTTCAACCACTTCTTACTATTTTTGTCTTCTATGCATTCTTAATTTAGTTAACAATAAACTAGTTATAAGTTGCATAGAAACTCGAATTTAAAAGACACATTTTTCTTCGTGCCTTTTTAGAATATACAAAGGATATAGTTTAGTTTAGAATTTTTCTTTTGGTATTAAGTTCTATCTATTTTAAATTCTAAATTCGTTTCTGGACTCTTGTGTTCTTTTCTGTTGTCCAAACGTTGTTAACCAGTCTCCGCCAATTCACGTCACCACAAGCAATCCTCTACCAATATTATTTTCTCATCGTCAACATCAATACTATTGACAAACAACGAACTATTGACTCATATTTCTACTTACCGCATTGTTCAACAAACGATTTGTTTTCTTTTTTTTATATAATAACAGTAATAATTCATAATCATATGTTGTTGTCAGGATCAAGAACTGGGCTGCTTTGTAGTGAAAGTTGAATTCGGGGCACAACTGTGCACACTACAATTGGAGGTTCTACCCAAATATTTGGTGGAACATATATTTTGTATGACCAAAACTGACAACAGCATCATCAGCATCGCCCCATCATCACTATTATAATTGTTATTATCGTGGTTGACATCATTATTAGTGTTGTTCTTCTTATTATGATCATCTACATCATCGAAATCAAATATTGAATATCTCGGTAACATCTTGCCTTCGAATAATTTACAAGTATTGAGGTAAGATCCACCCAAAAGTGTTCTCAAGGTGTTGTAAATCCGTGTCTCATTTTGGTTTCGATAATAGTTTTTCGTTACGAGAATTTGATATGTCTAGAGAAACAATTTTGAATAAGGACAAAAAGATAGAGGTCCACTCGAGTGCCTCTACAGATCGTGATCTTTCAGCATTAGAAGTTGACGAGCCGAGAGTACATACAGAACATAATATTTCACCAAAATCAGTACCATCAGGTGCATCAGTAAGATCTAAGGCTGCATCTGTTTCCACGGATGTAGTGGAAACAATGAGTGCATTAATGACAGAGGCCATGAATCGCATGGAAAGAGCACAGAAAATTCAGGCAGAAGCCTTAGAGAGAGTCATGAAGAATGCACAAGAAATACAGGCAGATGCACTACTACGAGTCTTCAGTCAG